ATTAGAAGAAGAATGCACTATTTTTAATTATAGAAAATGCGTTTTTCTAAGGTACATAAACTTTTGGGATTGACTGTATAGACAATACATCCTTTACCTTGGAGAATAGCTGTTTGTATTTATTTAGCATTGGTTTACTTCACGTCGTTTCGGAAATGATTTCAGATTAAACTGAATTAGATATGCAAGGTCCTTCTTCATTGAAATTCTATGTCAAGAATATGTAGGAACGTATTTTGCAACGACAATACGACTAAAATAATTAGACGAGATGTAAGTTTGTAATGTACCAAAAGGATTTTAATAGGGTGATATTTATGAAACGCACATTATGTATCAGCTCGATTTGATATCGTGCGATGTATATGAGTTACGACTGTAACACTGATCGAAGTAAACGAATGGCAAGTTGTAATTTGTATTTGAAATACATAAATGGTCCTAACATAGAAATAATTTTGATTTTATAAGTAGAACAGTAAGGAACGTACTTTATAGATTTCATTTATTTGCATTCAGTTAAATAAAAAGAAAACGTAACAGTAATATAAGAGCATGAATATAATAATACTTGAAGTAATAAAAAGATGACACATGATTTCTACGAAGTAGAACTAAAGAAGATCTTATCTTCGCCGTCGCACTTTTAAAATATAGATACGTTTCGATTTATTATGTAATTGCACTGTAAAAGATCACAATACGTTGATTGTTTTTAAACATCTCGTATGGGATCTATCATTGTTAATTATTGTATAAAGCATTTTTTAAATACCTTAGCTTGGAAATGAATATAAACGTTTGACACATACGTTTCTCGTCATAGTATCAAATACTTTTACAATTATCTGTTGTCCTCGGTAGTTCCTTCTTTCATACGTAGATCTCTATCACTTTCTACCTCATCCATGGTTCCCGTAATTCCTGGTTTACTATTGTCTATACGAGTCAGCAACGGAAACAAAGTATTTTTCATTTAATTAATCACTTTTAAGTAGCACGCGAATGTAAAGTATTAGTTAATCGTACACATTTATTAAGAAGTTCATACCTTGTCGAGTGGCAAGCGATGTAAAGGAAATTGTAATATTTACGTATGATCAGATTATGGTAAATACTTACCAGGATCAATCGCGTTTGGAATGCCATCATTCGATTCATTATTCTTTTGCTCTTTTGGTACTGTTTCAGCTGAAAGCCACGTACACTTAATTACTACTCTAGCATGAAATGGTAGAAAGAAATAATATATACAAGTATGAACAAACAGTTAGTACTTTGCGACATGTGAGTAGTCCCTGGCATTAGTCAGTCCTCGCCAATTAGTACACATACACAAATAATACTTTGAAGCGTAGCGTAATATTATTTAAAACGTACGACAGTGACACATGTAATTTTTATTTCTTAGTATATTCCATACACATACATTGAATGAAACGCAAGAGCAAGTATTACAACTAAATAAATTAAAAGTGTTCGTTATAATCAATAAATTTGTATTCGAATTAAAGCCGATGCTACAATTTAAAATGATCACACTCTACAATTCATTCTTCATTGATTTTTAACTTAGAGTAACATGTTCACATATTATATAAAAAATTATGTCTCTTCGTTTATATCTTAATTCATTCTATGTGTTAGGTAGAGAAGCGGTGCAATGTACATATTAGAAAACCTATTCGACTTATACGAACGGAAGTCTGATATAATAAATGCATCAAAAATACAATGACTTCTGTACAGAGTAGCTGCGTAAGTGCCGTCTTAGTTTTGTGACAATCTCCTTTTCCCCTGAAGTAGGAGAAAAGCATCACTACCTTTCAGCATTGAAACAGAGTAGCGAGGACTTAGGCGCACAGCGCCGGGTGGATCTTTTGGAAGAATTGGAATTCCATGGTATTTCAGACCACGTTGGCCAGCTAAGGATATTTTTACAGCTGATACCGGAACAGGGCCCAACTGACTCTTGTTAATTATCGGTCTTGTAGCTAAATTGGCAAACCGCCGAAATATCATATAGTGCATACGTCAATTGGTATAATGCAGAAATCAAACAAAACTCAAGCTTTATTCAATACTTTCATTCGAGAGTATGTTAGAATCGTTTAGAAAATTATACGAACAGCAGGCTACGATTTAAATCGACAATACGACTGTAAAAGATATTAGCATCGAAACAAGCAATTCAAAAACCATAGGGAATATTTATTCGAACTTAAATATTGGAAAATGCAGTTATTCAGGATATATATATATATATGTATATGTATATATGAAAGTATAAAATGAAAATAAAATGTTAGGAATGCGTTTTAATACTTACGTTGAGAAATGGTATCAATTTTCTTTAAAGGCGTAGGACTACATGAAAGTTTAGCTTTATCGAGCTCATCCTTCAGCTGAAAAGATCATCACGCAATAAGTAAAGCTTATTATGTAACAGGAGTAGAATTTCCAATCACAACCGCACCTGTTCTATCTCTTGCTGCAGTTTTTTATTCTCGTCCCTCTTTACATCCAGCTGTGTATTGAAGTTATCCTTCTCCAATCTCAGTGTCTCCAATGTTGCAGTCTTGGTAGCATCCAATTTATTCAACGAATCCAGTTCGCTCCTACATATGTTAAGATTATCGTCTAGTTCGTCATTTTTCCTTTTGAGCTCATTCTGCTGTTCCAACTTTACATGCAACGAAGCCACTTCTTCCTCTGCATGCTTGTATCTTTGCTCTACATTGCTACGCAATGTAACACACTGATCCCTTTCTTCAGCACTGTGGCACAATATTCCAAATATTAATATAGTCCACCATAATCCACACATATGTTATTAAGAAATTTTCTCGTAATTGTCAAATCAGAGGTATTGAAAAATCTAACGTGTCGCACTTCAAGCTGATATTAATTCTATACCGTGATCATTTTTGTCTGGAACATAAATAATAAAATATTTGTTGATTTATGACGCTACCTGTTTTTTAGCTGTTCGTTCAGATCGTCGTTCTGTTTGCACAGTTCGAAGTTCTCGTTAGCCAAGGTCCACCAGTTGAAAGTAACTACTATACAAGTGCAGAAGAGTACAATTCCGAGAAGAGGAGGACATCGTGCTCCTCCGACTCTTATACCGTCGATTCCCATTCCTTACTCGATGCGATTCAATTTTATTCAACAAATACACACGTGCGCGAATCGGCACGTGTACAGAAAAATCCGAAGCCTAACGATAGTTACGTTCCATTTAATCGAGACGAGAAGGGAAGAGAAGTGGCTCTTACCAAATGTCACGGCCCACCACTCAGCTGATTCAAATAAAAATAGCACTTTTCTATTAAATTCTTCTATCTCGGATCACAGATCTTTCTGTACACTCGTTCTCTCACTGAAATACTGAAATAAATCCACTGAACGTGTCGTGTGGGCGTATCTCGTGTTACACTACCGGTATTGACAGCAGTATGTACACACGCCAATTTTTATCAGAAAATATGACGAGTCACGTCGTATCTCGACGTACTCTTAATGCACGTTGAGATATTTTGTTTGTTTAGTGTAACAGTCGTGTTGATATGCGATCTGAAATCAATGGGTCGGATTCATCCTACTGGAATAAGCTAACTGTAGTGACTGACGACTGACGGCGACGGCTAGCCACACAGAGCAATCACAGACACACACAGGAATGCACGTACACTCGTTTACATGCCGTGATAAGCCGCATGCTTTACGCGTACGTGTAGATAGATACGAGCTCTATACATACTTATTAACGAGCGGGGCAGGCCATCAAATACACGCGAACAGACTGTTTAACTTAAGGATGCCGCGTATTTTTTTACTCTTATCCTTATGAGCATCTGTTTCATGAAGCTACCTTGCATCCGGGAATCGAAGGACTCGCTGGCAAATTAGCATACTTTGTAAAACGATATTTAATGGACTCGTCCTATAATGCAGTCGCAATTGCAACGTTCAGGAAACGTTTTCTTCGTAAACAATTATATAGTTGAACAAATGGTAGGCTTAATAACAGGTTCCAAAGAAATGGAAGTAAATAATGTTGAAAGATGTGCAGATGCACCGTAAGTTGTACATACATTTATTCTGTTCGCTTTTATTACATATATAATATATATGTTTAGTTTACCCTACCATTGAAGAGAATCTATAGTTGAATAGAGTGAAAAACAGCGCGGTCACGTAATGAATGTAAACGGCAAGAGGCGATGCACTCGACGTTTAAATCCACCGTAAACGCGACTCACCGAAACGATTACTGGTTCAAGAAACTGTATTCTCAACTAATCGATCGTATGTAATAATATAACGTAAAAGAGAAGACCGTACAAGCATGCGAGTCCCTGTGAGAGTTCATCTTGACATTACACGGTTCTCTGGTACAATTAACTCGACGCTCGAGGGTCGATCGAAACTTTTAACAACTGTACAGAAAAACGAAACGTAGAATTCAATTGTAATTAAAGATATAACCAGCCGACGTCGGCATCGTTTTATTACCAGGTCTTACGTTAATTGTACGTACTTCCTTCTAACGTAGTCATTTTATGTAAAAAATGATCCGTGTACACATAAGTCGTATAGGCATTACGTGAACCATGCCTGTAGGTCCGAACGAAAATAAAATATATGATAAATGTAATCGAGTCTGCACCTGTATCATAATATTCATCGTTGTGCGAGACACGTGTGTATTCGCACGACGAGTTCGTTTCGTTTAAATCCTAAATCTAGCTTCATTAGAGATGTCCGTCGAAAGCATTCGAGCCAGACGTGGAAAAATAATCTATTGTTGCAAACGCCGTACAGTATTCCGCACAACCGTACGTATTTACATACATACATGTACACACGTTTCGCCTAATTTCATTTTTCTTCATATAATAATATCTAAGCCGATCGAGAATCGTGCTGCTTCGAATTCGAATCGACGCGGAATCATTGATGTTCCTCTTTCCTTCCCGTTTCATCGATCCCAATTGGAATTGCGCATGGAAATTTATTCAATTGAACACAACGCAGTATGTAGCTGAGTATTTTGAGCAATGCGTGTCCTTTTTGATTAGAATCAGCGATGAATCATTTTTTTCATACACCTCCTCGAAACAGCATAATTATCGATGGATAAGGTCGTCAACGAAAATCATGCTGAGCTAGTTTATGCTCGCGCGTATTTTTACGTATCGACATCACGTGTTTAACATCGAGTTGCGTTGCATTTTCTGTGAAAAATACTTGTCCCTTGTACATGCGGATGTCTTGGTTGAACTATTGTCGAAAAGTCTCGACATCCTCTTAGCTGGAACAAGTTTCCTCTTTTTGAACAAAAGGGAAATGAGATCACGATGATTCCGATCTTCTATTTATAGATAAGCATGTGCTATCTATCTGCTAAGAATAACTTTATGCCGATTCTCGTGCGCGTAACATTTTCCTCCTTTCATTTTTTACTAATCAGCCGATCGATACGTCGAACGAGTCTAAGATTTATCTCGAATGATCAATCGGGAATTTCGCGTGTCCCTTTTGTTCCCTCTCCGTTATTCTCGCAATTACGAATGCCAACTCTTCTTCATCTTATAATAATTTAACACGTTGGATGTATATGTGTCATAATTGCATGAAAGCGACTGACGCTCGAAGTCGGATGAGAAAATGAGTGGAAAACAACCGGAAGAAGGTACATTGCACTAATCGGTATGAAAATGAGGCTGTCGTCTCCGACAGCGCTCGGGACATCCGTATTTCTTTTCGTTATGTAAAACACAAAGAAGCGTGAACGTGAACATTAAACGTGATGAAAGGAACGATATTTTTAGTCATCAAACTGTACGTCGTTAAAATTCCGATTGCTAACGCGATTCTACAGAGTGCGGCAGCGAGCAACACTTGAAGTCACTCCTGTAAAAAATTACGATTCAATTCTTAATAATTAAGGTACTTTGTCTATAACACGCGTAACGTTTCATATTAACGACGTTCGTTTAATATAAATTTATATCGACGTATAAAATTACAATCTGTAAATGTTGATCGATTTTTTTTGTCTTCTTGTTTAATCTTTTTTTTAAAAATTTTCAATTTTAATGCGTGGTGTTCGAAGAATTTGATTTATAAAATTCGTCGACTCTTTAGCGCCGTTTCAATTTCCTTTCTTAATGATTGTTGGCCTCTGGAAATTGAAACTGTTCGCAGTCGTGTTTGCTTCTTACCAAATAAAATTTTGGTACGTGAATTTAATTCTAAAATCCTTCGCGGTCCCTCGCGTGTCGAGGGACTGCGGAGTTTCGTCGAAAAAGTACAAATATTTATATTACTCAGTCCGATTCTGGGTTGAGTGCAGTAAATTAATCTACTTAGCGCGTTCCACGCTAATAAATTCAACGCGACTTCACCGCAACCTCTTTAGTACTTCGTGATCGTTTCTTTCAATCTCTGTCACTTTTTAGTCTTCTCGCGTATTTGCACGTCGCAATCGCATATCATGCGGCCTCGAGATCTAATCGTGGCCTTTTCCTCTCCTCGATACGTGCGAGACAAATTCGAGTATTACTTTCGGTTGTGTTCAGAAACCATTAACTTATGCATGTACTAGGAAAAGAATATTCTAATCGTTTGTCTAACATAAGCCATAAATCTTTCCTCAGACCTCCACGGCTCAAATTCTCACAGTCGACACTATCTGAGATCTTCAGATCCACTGATCTGTTTAACTGGTGCAATCGTATGAATAAAATATACGATTTACACAGGGAATTGTTAGGCAGTAGTCGTTAACTTGCCCTGTTTAGAACGAAATGATAATTTCTACGCGTGATGCTTGCTTTCGTTACTGCCAAGAGATATGATGAATGATTAAGAAAGGCAGCACCGCGACAACGATAAAGCGTGTTTCAACTCAATTTATTTATAACGCGATGCTCCGATTGAAATTAGAATATTTGCAAACTCATTCAGTAAATAAAATTCGTATTGAACTTAGAGAACGAACAATTGAAACTCGCAGCGATCGTTTTATTTAACAAGGTATAGATTGTGACACTCTTACTTATATGATAAAATGATATTTAATATGTCTTTTTTTTAGTAATTTTAGTATAGGTACAGTTAGTTTAGAGATGCATGTATCTACAGTGTAAGTACACATTCATGTTATAAAAGTCGCGTATAGTGAAATAACGAATATTTCATATATAAGATATACTTTTTCTATATTTATTCATAGTTTCTTTATCATGCTTGGGATATTACGAATATTGTTTCGATACATTTGGATAGAACAGAATGTCGTACCACACATACGTACATTTGAAAATAATTTCCATCTGCGGGATAAATGAGCACGATACTATTCTCGTTTACGGTTCAACAAAACTTACAAAAGAAGATGCGTGAGCCAATAACTTTTCGTCAACTAGTCGATTCGTTTGTTAAACAAATCTGAAATTAAAATACCGTGGTTAAAACGCAGCGTAATGCCAAATGAAAGTTATTAGTCCTCAAGCTTCTTCCCATTTATCAACACATTTTCAATATGCTATTTTCTAAGGTATTACGTAAAGTTTTAGCGTAACATATTAAGAGAGTTTAAAACACTATGTTAATGCTTAAGCTAGAAGCAAATAACAGAAGGATCGTATGAATAATTCTAAAAATAAAATGTGCGCTTAAATTATTGCATGTTCAACATAGCCCCAAGCTGTCTAATCGTAAGAGCGAATCGTCTCTCGTTTTTTTCTTTTTAACGATTCGCTGGCTTTCATTAATCCGCGGTTTTAAAAGCAGTTCGATTACATCGATTAAAGTTATATTATGCTGAAAAAAAAAACTGAAGATGCTGAACGTTCCTTTAAAAAATTAACCGTTCGTTTTATTTATTCTGTCTATAAACTTTTTCCTTTTCTTTATACTTATTCCTTGACTTAGTATCTTAAAGGATTAAACATTACATTAGACGTAATATATTATAATAATGATACACTATTCAAATAATTATTTCGTTGCCATATAAAAATATTAACTTTCTTCAAATTCATTTACTCTCCAAGGTATTTAATGGTTTTTCAACCGAATTCGAATTTTCGTTAACGAAAACGTGAATTATATTAAACTTATATCCTCCCATTTTTACAATTTATATCCCTCGCCTCATGTTTCAAAGCAATCGAAATCTCTGCATTTAAAAGAATTTTACACTACGTGCTCCTTTCTCGTGCATCGATTCTATATGCATTTCCGCGCGATTGGCAGTAACAAAAGTAATCAGAATAAAATCTAGCACCGATGTCCTGTACAAGGGAAATAAAATTTTTGTTACACTTTTGCATCATCGGGTCGCAGAATTTCGTGAGCGAAACGAAATGAACGCTTCCTTACAAAATTGAAGAACAAAATTATCGGGCAAGGTCGCTTCGCTTTATCTCGATTTACGACTGTATTATGTTCACTTGGGTAGCAGAAAATAAGACTGATCTATGCCGGATGAAATTATGTACGAAAGAGGCGATGTAAGCGTTCTCTGTCATCATCGATATGTTACGACATTCGTATGAAAGCATTTATAAACGTGGAAAAACTTTGTTCAACTCGAGAATAAACCACCGCGCTGTTTGTTAATGCGCACTCGCCGTGGTTGTATCTTTACAGAAAAATTGTCGCGTGCCCGCGAAGGAATAGGAGAATAACGGTGAGTCAGAAAACGCAGTATAGAAAGACCTTGTATTCATATATAGAACATTTAAAATACTTCTTTTTTTTTGTTTGAACCCTTATGCTTTATATACCTCAATGTTTAGCTATGGACACCTCTTCCATTGCTCTATAATATCGTGCATTCGTTTCTTTCGTTTTACTCGTAATGTCACGTCGTTTTTTAATATGAAGAAATATACTGTTTCATCGTCGTTGTTAGGCGTGTGTACCAGCGGAAATTAAATAATGAATAGCGCTGTTTGGATATTTGGGCTGTAAGAGGTCACGGAGAAACAGGCTCACGAAAAGTTAGCTACTTGGTCTCTTTAGTTTCACCTTCTTCTGTGGAGAGCTTCCTTGTAAGCGTATATTTACACCGCGTCTCTTCACTTGAGGGTTGTTCTCCAAGAAGTTGGTGGCGTCCGATGATCCTACGGATGCTGGAATTAAAACGGGGCATCCCTCAAACCTCTGATATAAAAGGAACATCTTTTTTGGAGGGAGAGAAAAATTTGTACCGACCTTGTTGTAACCACCTGACTTGCGTCGCTGGCCCGTACCCTTTCACGTTTCGAGCTGCTATTCTAAATATTATGGCCGGTGTTCTAGTCGTATCGACGTATGCGGCACTAAGGGAACTATTAGACACTGAACAAGAATTGTTTGTACCGCAGTAGAATTTAGTGAATGTTAAGTTCGAATTCGTCGCGGTTGTCTTTGGTTCTCCGTTATTGTTCGACGCGGCGTTCGCCATCGCTATGTAGGCAGAATATTCTAAAATGGGTCCGTCGTTTCTGTTCGGCGGTGGCTCCCACGAGATATGAGCACCGTCTGCCGTTTTACTAATCTTTATGGCGCTAGGCGCCCCAGGGAACCCGGGTACGTACGTCCTGAACGCAGATACCTTGAACACAAACGAATCATCATTTCTCACTCTTCGCTTTAAAACAGATACTTGTAATTATTTTATTTACCTCGCTCCAATCGCTTTGTCCACAACTATTCACAGCAGCAATTCTGAGCTTATAAATGGTTCCTTGTTCTAAAGGAACCTTGGTTCTCCCTTCGAAAACGTCCATCGTCAATGGTTGCGTTATATCTAAAGGATCGTCGCCAGGCAAATAATAATGTTGTACAGTGAATCTCGACTCTTGTGTCACTCCCACGTCGTACCACTCTTCTTCTTTCTTTTCTTTCTCAGTCTGGAGGCGAACATCAAAAGACTCTTATATCACGAAAAACGGTAATTAGAAACTGCAATAGAATGGAGTTTTACCTGATCAGGCTTTATTTTCATCGGCTGTTCCGCTGAACCCAAGGCAGCCGTAGCCAACGTGGTCAACGCCGTAGAATCGTCTCCGTTCTCCGCTCTGGTTCCATTCATTTTTTCTTGCTGTGGCGTATCTTTCTTGGCAGGTTCTTCAGATTTTATTTCTATCTTTACCGGATTCACCGCTTTCTGAATATCCATTTCCTTTTCGAGTATCGCGACGTTGTTAACAGATGTTACCGGTGGTGTTGGTTCGGGAAGTTTCTCTTGTTTATGCAACTCGACGGGATGCTCTAATTTTATTTGCATGATAGCCGTCGTTGTAATAGGAATATTAACATTGGCAGATGTTAAATTCGATTCGGCGGTAACCATCGGTTCATCATTATCTTCCAATCCCTCCATCCGATCTTCCGGGATATCCATCGGTGTGTCCGTAATTTCGCTCTTTATTTTATCTATCTGATTCTCTTCTTGGGAAGGCTGCGATATACTATCTTCCGTCGACAAGTGTTCTGGTGCAGCCGACTTTTCTTCAGGACTGTACGTGTCCATCGCTAAGATCTTCATATTGCCAGGTTCTTCGCTTTCTTCGTTCTCTGGTAATTCCATGGCATCTGGCATAGACGCGTCTTCTGACGAAGCTTCCGCGTGATCCTGCATAGAATCTTCTACTTTCATTTGTACATCCTCGTTTAAAGAGCTGTTCTCCATTTTCACGTCATGTTCACTCGTTGCCTCCGGCTCGTTTGTATCCTCGGCAGGTGCTTCGTTCTCATCCGCTTGCTCGGAAGGCTCTGCTTCTATCGGAACGTCTTCCGCAGCGTTTGCGGAAGCAGGAAGTTCAGATGTATCTTCAAGCGACTCGTCTTTTATGGCAGGTTCGTCTTCCATCGGCACAGACTCCGCCGGCACGGGTTCTGCGTCCTGCTCCATGCTCGCTGAATCCGTGTTCTGCGTCTCCTCTTGATTTTCTAACGCGGGATCGTCTGTTAAATCGATCTTCTCGTTTTCCTCGTCGTCGTCAGACAGAAGCAGATCCGCCGCGCCGTCGACTTGAGGGATCAAGAAGTTCCCGTCTCTGTCGATTTGCATGGTTTCGCCGGCTCCAATTTGAGAAACTAAAGCGGCTGCAGTGGTGGTCTCGTCGCCGTTGCAATTGTCTTCCATTTTACTATCCCCCGCGCCGCCGTCGTCTGTAGACACCATGAATGAAAGATCGCCGGAAGGTTCTTGTACCGGATCGATCAAACCTGCCTCTGCAGCCAACGCGGCTAGCGCTGCGTCTGTAGTTGCAGGGCCGTCGGATGTCGATGCCAATGTAGCTGATGGTTGTTTCTGCGATGGAACGAATAACATTTTACTCGTATCTATCGTCTCCGATGCGCTCGAGGTAGTCGCTATCGTGCTACTCGTAGGCATGAGTGTAACAGTTTTAGCACCTCCGGGCATTTGCAACGTCACAGGTTTACCAGCCACTGTCACGGTCTCCGGTGTTTTCTGTATCTGTGGCATAGTGACGATTTGGCTCTTGCCAGGATTGAAGATTGCTTGTGGGCTTCCCTTGGTAGCGATGGTCACGGTTTTCGGGACACCTCCCTGGCCTGGAACCGTGATTGTAATAGGTTTCCCAGTGGTACCACCACCCATAGCGCCCGATGATACGACGATCATCTTCACTGCTTGTTGATTCGTTACGTGATTAGTAGCAGACAGAGGTAAAACATTTACGGGTGTCGTAATATTAGCTGTCTGACCGCTACCAGCTTGAGAAGTCGTAACTGCTTGCACGGCTCTTAACCCAGATCCTGTTGTTACTACTATTATTTGATTGCGACCGACGAGTCCGCCGTTACCACCGGGTTTCGTAATCATTATCGTTTGTTTACCGCTGATGTTCTGTCCTTTACTCATCGCGACGATGCTAGACGTTTTCATAGTGGTAATAATTTTTGAGCCTTGGACGGTGTTGGGATTTACTAATCTCAATATCGTCGGTCCTTGATTAAGCGGTTTGGCACCCGTCGCTTGGACAGGCTTGCCAGGGATGAGACTCACAGCTTTCGTTGCTACCATACCCTGACTTGTTTTAAGCAGGTGCACGACTTGGGGTTGACCAGGTATATTTTGTCCCGGTTTCTGTAGGATGATCTGCTTGCTTTGCGGCGCCGTGGCCGTACGCAGTACCGTCGCACCGGGCGCGGCGAAACGTATCTGCTGACCGGCCTGAACGCTCTTCATCCTGATCGTGTTGGTCGTCGATTGCGGAATAATCGGTACGTTGTTCATATTTATTTTCGGAGTAGCCGCAGCCGCGGCAGCCAGCGCAGCGATTCCCGACATAGCCGCCGGTGTTTGACTGGCCACTGCAGCGTTCGAAGTCGGCGTTTGCTCGACAGGAGTAACAACGGCGGACGCAGCAGGCGCAACGACGGCAGCGGTCGCGACTGCGGTAACGGTAGTAGTTGCCGCTGGCGCAGTTGTAACTAAGGGAGAACGGATTCTGATCAGATTTCCGGCTACTCTTGGAGTCATCGGGCTCGACGGTTTCGGTACAGCTGGTGATGGTACTGGTTTCTGAACTGGACTTTGTACAGCCGACTGAACTCGGACCGGAGTTTGCGGAGGTATGGACGGTCTGACAGTCGGGGTTGTTGGTGTTTGAGGAAGCTCTGGGACAGCGGTGATGGGTGAAGATGTAGCTGAATCGGTCGCGAGGGTGACCATCGCCGATGTTGTAGTAGGCGTCGCGGCGGTTGCCGGGGTGCCGACCGTAGGGAACGTGGTTCCGGTCGCCGCTGTCGGTTTGCATTTCTGAATTTGCAATATGTAGTATTGTGCGGATGGGACCGGCGTCCATTGAATCTCCAACGCTTGCAAACTGGCTCTGACTAAGTTCAACTTGGATGGCGCCGATGGCTTACCGACCTCGAGGTACCACAAATCTTTACAACACACCTATGTCAAGTGGAAATCATATTGTATAACGGATTACGCTGTTCTCGAAATGAAAAATGAATTATAAGGACTAACCCTAACCTGATTGTTCCAAGCTTTGCGATATCCGTCTCGACCGGACCATACGTATAGTTTATTATGCATCCCGATTGCGCAGTGACCAGCACGTGCGCGAGGAACATTTTCTTCTAGGGTGTCAACCGTTAACTCCTCCCACGTCCAAGTCTCTGAAATAACATTTCGCGCTAAGTTCCCATAATTGATTTCTACAACTATTAGAAAATTGTCTGCAGAAATGACAAATGCCATGTGTAGTGTACGAAGTGGTTCAGAACATCAGAAGTTGAATAATCGTAATCATTGCGAATCCTTACGAATTCGTACCTATATTTAAACAAGCCAATGTATTTGTGCACTTCCATTCCTTCTCGTGTGTCGCAACCTTGACGTCCTCAAAAACGAGTGGTACCCATCCTCCGAACACGTACATTCGATGTCCAATTAACGTGGCAGTATGAAGGGAGCGCGGCAACGGATTAGGTCCACCGACCTCTGGTTTGTGCCAAGTCATCGAATCGACGTCTAGGTACCACAGATCACCTAAACGGCAGCCACTCATACCGCCGTAAATTACTAAACAAGTTTTTCCCGTTTTACTATCCGTATAAGAGACCCCGGTATGAGATTCCCTGGGTGGTGGTGCATGGCCATGGGTTTGTGGCACGTCCCAAGCTGTCAGCCCGTTAGGAAGTAGTTCAAGGGTATACAAATCATTCAGATATCTTGGTATATTATTCTTATGATCTTCACTATCATTGGCCAAGCCTCCGAAAAGGAAAACTCGGTTGCCGATAAGGGTAAAACTATGTCCCAGTCGGGGACAGGGGGGTGGATCATTTTCCGGTGGTCTCGGTCTCAATTTCTTCCATTCCCATCGGACCGCTTGAAGCTCATAAAGTTCATCCGAATATTTTCCATATTCTACCATACCCCCAAAGACTAAAATTCGACTTCCATCAACGACGAATCCATATGCAGCACAGCCAGGTGGTATATCACCTTTTGTCGATGGTACAAACCATTGATTGGTCGCTGTTATGGAACAGAGATAAGAAAATGGAAATATAGAAATTACGAAACACGTATGATATCTATTTCATTCATCGTGTCGTTCTTTATACGTAAAGTAATACTGCGATTCAGTTAATATAAGCTTTGTTGAAATGCGTATGGATCACAAATTGTATTGGCAAGTATAGTATCGGGAGGATTTCAAAATCGGGTACGAGATAATCGTAACAGTACGCACGCGTATAGCTGTTGACAACATAGTAAAAGAAATGCCGTGCGCATTCATGATACGGTATAAAGATGTGAAAAGCTGAAACGAAAGAGTGGGAGGAGAAATAGGAACGGAAGGAAAAAAGAGAAGGAAAGGTGAAGCGTTAACGTGGAATGACGGGAAACGCGGCGCGTTGCAGACCCGTGGTGGGGCGTGCAGGACAGCAATGGCCGCTCCCGTGCGTATAAACATGAAAAATGACAGATCGCACGGATTCTAGCTATGAAATTAGCCGTCGGCCCGGCGAGGAAGACTTAAAAAGAGACGACCGACGAAGGTAGACCAGGTCTACGGAGAGAAAACGGCGATCAAGCATCTCGCATAAGAGTAATCGTTCGTTTTCACGGCGATCCGGCCGGTGACCGTTTTGTCAATGTATGCCGCCATCTTGGATCGCGGGAATGATCAAGAACGGCGCGAAAGACGCTCAGGAACGAAGGAGACTTACTCGTATTATAGACATGAAGCTCATCGACGATGCCTTCGTTTCCACCGCCGAAAACGACCATGAGGTCCTTAAGAGCAACTGCCCTGTGTCCATGTCTGGGTCTTGGCTGGGGTCCGGACGGATTTGTGATCCGCTTCCACTTTAGCATGGGTGCCGCCATGATGACCATCGATCACATCATTTTTTCATACCGCGCAGCTATGCACCCACCGTGTTACCCCTAGAGCAGTGGGACGCCCGACGGGTTTCGGCGATCGAGTACCCTTTTCTCTCAACCCGCGTACCACCAATGTTCACGACACGCGACCGCCTCTCGGCCGACTTCGATGGTTCACACACACCCAACGAAAACTCAACTACTTCTTCTTGATATTCTCACCACTGTCAATACCGTGCATCTCTCAGGGTATATAACCTGGCTCGAAACTGTCCACCTCTGACAATTAACTTGCCTCGGCTGAGCGGCTCACACAAACCTGAAGTACGACCAATATACTCTCGATAAGAATCATGAAAATTCTACACGATACAGAAGACGACGTCTGTAACGTAACACGTATACACAGAACGCACACCGTATATTTACGTTCACGATGTTTACGGCACTGGTTTTGCATCTTCTAGTTCGCCCACCCGGTGGTCGTCGATTGTCCCGAGCAACAGTGCACTTTCCGTGTTACTATGCTAACTAAATAATAGCTTTAATAATACATTTCTGTTGAATCCTCTCGTCCATGACTTGTTAAGCCATTTTTAAGAAAACAAGCATAATTCCATCTCTTATCATAATTCCATACACCGATGAGAAGATCTGTAATAAAATATTTCCCTATGTAAGACCTTCCTAGGTACGAATTGCATAATAAAATTTATAGCGTTACAAATATATAATACAAACGCATGTTGTATATACTTGCATGATTTATTTAAATATATCGTTAAATATTCTCTGTTTACTCGTAGAGAACTTCCATTGCACAACTGCATTCGTTCCCACTCTCCCAGTACTTTAGGCCTCTTTACAAGTATGGCACTTGCTTACACGCCTTAAAATCAAATACTTTATCGTAATCATTTAAATAAAAATATTCTTAATTACGTAACATGCATACTTGATAAGAAATATGATCAAGGAGTTGAGAAATTTTTTATTATATGTATATTTTTAAAATATAATTCAGGTGTACTGTTTCAGTATGAAATAATAATAATGGTAATAATAACAGTACAAAAATTCATATCGCTCTTAACAAAGAAAATGCTTCCTAAAGTTCATTACCATTGTATGCTTTGTGATATTTACAATACTTCCTGGAATGACATAATACCTTTTACATATTGAAAACAACGATGTTAGCTTACGATTAACTGTTGTTAATGCATGTATATCGATTAAAAGTAGCAAAAATCTATCGGAATTGAATGGGGCTTATCTTTAAGCCAGTACACTGTTTTCCTATTTGTGCAACTTCGCAGACATTGCATATTGTGTCTTTAAATTGCGGTAAATAACAGGCGCCGCACAACGGGCACTTGACTTCCGGTTTCCCTCTGTAAATCGGGACGAACGTCTTCGCGCACAAGGAGAATGGATTGTGTTCATCATACGCTAATTGATGCTCGTCCACTGGGTTCTTATCGCATGCCTGAAACAGAAAAATACATTTTATGTATTCTAAGTTACACATTTTGTGTATGTATGAACGTACTTGTAAGATCTTCCTGACTTGTTGCGCCAAATCGGGTTTGGGGCCCAGCTCGAGCAGTCGCCTCGCGAACGAAGCGGCAGTTTTGTAATTTTTCAATTTGAAGAACATATTTACAGCTATTCTTAAAGTTAAGATCTGGTGAACCGATTGCAAACTGCAGTGCGTGAAATAGGCTGCCATCTCGCAGATTCGCTTCTGCTCGGCCAAAGTAGATTTCGGTAGATTCTTCCTCTCCGTCTCCATCTTCAAACCGAGGATGTACTCTCTGCAGATTTGAATCAATTGTTGCGCTTCCAGGATCTCCTGTTTCGTTTCTACGACCAACAACGGCGCGCTGAGTAAAATCGCTTGCAATTTCTCTATCGCTTCCGGGAACTTTCCTCCGGTCGTCAAATGATAGCACACTTGAAGTCGTTGAACTAAATCGGTGAGATGCAATCCGACAGCGGGAACAGCACTATTCGGGCCACTGTCCTGCAAATTTCTTTGAGGATATCCGTACAGGGAAGGTATATTCGGTAATGTGGCGAACGACGTTCTGGCCCGAGCGAATGTAGTCATGAAAAGAGGCTCAAATGGTCCGAATTCGACTACACCGACTTGATCGTTCAACAATCTGAACGCGGAATCGAACGATCCAGCTAGAATATGATCTACGGCTAGCCGAGAGTTGTCCACCCAATGTTGAGCCTTTGATACACCTTTCTTCGGCGGTGCGTAGTAGCCGTCTTCCATCGTACTCGTCGATGTTTCAAGTTCCGGTGGTAGATCTACTTCCTCGACGTCCCATCCAGCGGTCGCTTCATCTTCCGGCGCAGCTTCATATTCGACGCCTTCTTCATCATCTATTCCAAGTTCTTCGTCGTTGCCCCATCCTTCCGCGGCTACTTCCGGGGCATCTTCTTCGGGAGCCAGTGCAGCGGCCACTTGGCTCTTTCCTCGAGACATCATCGCTCCTTCGAAGAATCCTTTCGACACTGTTAATAACGGCCAGTTGTTCTCGGCTTGTTGAATCGGCACTGGTGGTCGGAGATACACCGCTCCTTTTTCAAGAGCAGAGAGTTCTTCGTTCATCGAACTGTACTGGGCAACCTTCACTGGGTCATCTTCTTGAGACGCTATACCGTGGATCTTCTCGGTCACGTAAGCTAAGGAAGCTTGGCCGGAGTTCCGTAATATTTTCGCACGCTCGTAAATATCGCCGAGCAACAAGCTTCCCTGATACTGTCCAGAGACGTCCTTCCTGATTTCCGCAATTTTTATCATTTTACGTAACTTCTCCAGATTGCCAGTTATCAGATAGAGGAACGCGAGTTTTTCGAAATTCTTAGTCCTCTGATAGCACATTTCTACGACTTGATGATTGCCCTGTAACAGAGCTGCTTGAGCCAGGCTCTCCCAACAAGATTTCTGATCGAGTGATTTCGCAGCCTCTAAAGCGACTTCGATGTTCCCGCACTCGAGGGCCAGACCAAACCTAGTCTTCTCATCTTTGACGAAGTGCAAAGCAACTTCGGGATATCCTTTCTGTTGCAGATATGCAATTATAGATTGTCCAACGAGATTTGCATTACGAACCATGTGCAAAACCTCCTCGTATTTCCTATTAATTAATGCCAATTTGAATTTATACTCCGTCGGATCTATCCGAAGAATCCTCGGCCTGCATTCTCTGTCTAAACAATAAACTTGATTTCCTTTGACTCGCGTCACGTAAATCGGAAGATCTAAAGTACGAATAATCCCATGATCGCCATTATTAATAGCGTATTTAATATGATTGCTAGTGGTATAAATGAAGACACCTGAATCGTCCCAGGCTCCCGATTTTACTCTAGTATTTTCGTGTACGGAGCACAAGGATTCTAATTTTCTATTACAAATATTGACCGTATGTTTGGCGAGCAGTGCGACGTGAGACATATCACTGGACCAAACGACGTATCTGCATTTAGCGATCTTTACTTCCGCCAACGTTCTCTTCTGCTGAACATCGAAGAGAGTCACTTGTTCGGCATCACGGAGAAGAAGCATTCCCGTGCCGGCGTAAAATATCTCGTCACAGTTCGGAATCTGCACCTTCTTCGTAACTTCGTTCTTCAAATTCTTGATTACTAATGAATAAGCTCTGTCTAATACTGCGAAACGATTTCTGGCAACCCAAATGGCAGTAACACCCGAAGCCCGTTTCGTATCGGCATCGGTATTCGAATCACCCTCGCGCGGTATCATATATAAATCGTACGTGCTATTCTCGATGTTATTCGGCGATCTTGTACAAATTAAAACAGCGTTCTCTGCTTGATTATACGACATGCTATAAGGAGGCATCTTTCCTCCGCCGCGTATTTGCATAACCGAGACATCTTTCGAAGTAGTAAAATCCAGCTTCCGGAGGAAACGTTCTTTCACGTAATAAAGAACATTTCCATACACAGCATACGCTGGACGTTCTCTTTCTAGTTTGAAGATGATCATTCCGGAATCGTGGCCAGCAGCAAAGAGATTTAACGTTGGATGCGCAGCTAGAACCCAGAATCTCTCGTGCTCTCTTCTGAACGTGTGCAGACAAGTACGTTTAGACATATCCCAAACGCGAATACTCTTGTCTTCAGAATTCGAGAGAATAAGATCTTGTCTAGGATGGAATAAGACACAGGATACGTTATTATAATGTCCACGACACGTGTCAACTTCCCATGCTTTGGCATCGTTCATTCTCCACATTTTAATCTGTCGGTCATCAGCTCCAGAAGCAATTAAGGGCAACGTGGGATGGAAACATGCCCAATTGACTCCTCTGTCGTGTCCCTCGAGGACATGTTTCACAACAGCATCAGCTTGACCAAATAAATCTGTAGTCCCAGGATTCTTTAAGTGATCTTCCAAGCCTCCTGGACCAGGAGCTACGTTTTTCTTCCTCAATCCAGAGATATCCCATACTCTGACCGTTTGATCCAAGGAAGCTGATACAATGATATCTTCTGTAGGATGGAACTGTGCACACATTACATAGTGATTGTGTCCAGTCAAGACACAAATACAAGTACGGCTTTGCCAGTTCCAAATACGAATCGTCTGATCATCTGAAGCACTCAGAATCCAGGGATACTCTTCGTGGAACAGAGTCGTTCTAATATAATCTAAATGGCCTAGCAGAGTGAAGATACATCTTCTCTGTTTGTAATTCCATACTTTAATTTTATAATCGTCACCACCGGATACGAATAATGGTTGCTGGTTGTGGAAACAGATTCCACGAACTGGTCCATCATGTTCATCGAACTTGTCTAATAAAGTGCACATACGGTAGTCCCATAATTGAATAACTCCATTGTGCAAACTGTAATATAATTGTTTGATCAGGCAAGAATTAAATGACCTACATGTTTCTTAATTGAAATCTTGTTCTAATGATTTGAAACACCATGAGAGATGTTAATTACTTGCCTCGCAAGGACCCAAGGACGTTTCGGATGAAACGACAGCCCCTTTACGCGAGCAGATTTTGTCTCGAATTTTGTTAACATCTTCTATTAAATATATTGATGAATATTGTACGTTCAGAAAACCATTCCACACGTCTAACCCTCGTAAATTTGACACGGACGAAGGAGACACGTCACTAGTTCAGTCATGGAACATATACATTCATACAGATGGATGTTAAAATACAAATTTTTTTCTCGCTGGTTTTTTAATTAATAAATTCGACTTCGAGAAGAGTACTGACATCAAATTAGATTTCTCGGTTGAGATTAATTAATTACTTGTATAATGTATCAGGAGTTATGTTAATTATATCAGGAGTATTGATCAATCAATAGTTACAGAGGAATTATTTTTCTTTTACGGATTTATTAAAATATGGAATAATTGTATTGAAATGTAGTTAGATATTTTATTGAAGCAGAAGCAACATATGTCACTTCAGTATTGGTGGAATTACAGTTTGATTTAGCAAAACGCGCATGTTCGCTAAATATTTGTTTTATCATCTGTGGACTGACGTGTTGCCGAGCCGAGGCCTGAGAGAATTCGATTCGATCAATCTGCTCGTTTTACATCGAATACAGCTAGAATACTTAATAATTAATGATCCGTTTATAAAATACAATACAAAGTAGTGTAGTATTTTCATTTGGAAGTCTTCTTTTAATACAGTTCTTAAGTATATGCTTGTACAAGGTAGTTACCGGTAGAATAATGCGAAAGATTATGAACGTCACCTTTTTTCATTTGTTAAGTTTATTTATTTTACTTTATATGTTCGATTACGCGGTTTCTCACAAAGCGCCTACGAGCGACGAGTTGAAAGCTCAAAAATTTCCACCGTGCGCTGCTTGTAAAGTTTTAATAAATAGTTTTAAGAAGGTAAGTGCCATACTTATCGAAAATCCAATAACAACACATTTTATATTTCTATTATTCTAATTTCTATTTTAATTTGTTCTACAGGGGATAGAAAGAACCAGCCGTGAGAAATTCGACGGTGGTGATAGCGCATGGGAGGAAGACAAATTAGGATCATACTCAAAGAGCGAAACCAGACTAATCGAGATACAAGAACATTTATGTAAAGAGGTAGAACGTGGTGAAACCCAATGCCACTCCCTGGCTGAAGAATTAGAGAGTAAAATAGAAGATTGGTGGTTCAATCATCAGAAAACACACCCAGATATTTATGAATATATCTGTATTGAACAGACAGAACACTGTTGCCCGAAAGACCACTTTGGTCCTAAATGCACTCCATGCCCAGGCTTCCCAGATAACATTTGTAATGGCAATGGTAAATGCAAAGGAGCAGGGACTAGAAAAGGGAATGGGGGATGTCACTGTGATAAAGGGTATGAAGGAGATACTTGCTCCACGTGTGCAAGTGGATTTTATGAATCTTATAAGGATGAGAAGAAGCTACTTTGCTCTTCATGTCATGCTGCTTGCGATGGTCCTTGCAAAGGACCTGGACCAAAGAGTTGTGAGAAGTGTAAGGAAGGGTGGCAAATGTTGAGCGATCAAGGGTGCTTGGATATTGATGAATGTGTTAACAGTGATGAACACTGCCCTGGGAACCAGTTTTGTATTAATAAAGAAGGAGGACATGTTTGTTTGAGTAAGTTGATTTATGTTTTTAAAATAGTAGATTGGATTTAACTTTAATGTTTGTTTCAGGTTGTGATAAAGCTTGTGATGGCTGTACTGGGGATGGGCCTGATATGTGTTTGAAATGTGCAAAAGGATTCCACAAAAGGGACAATTTATGTATTAGTAAGTGTTTCAAATTTTATGTTTAATTGTTGTAATTTATAGATAATGATGTATAGGACTTTGAATCTTATGTACAATTATGCATTTTTACAGACTCTGATATTCTGGGTCGTAAGCAGCAAGAGAATATCACAAGATATGCTACGTATTTTGGCTTATGTATAGCTACGTGTATCATCTTCCAAAAGAATATTTATGTAGCAAGTGTAATTGGATTATTAGTTGGTGTATACATATCAGTTTCAGAGTACATGATAGCTCATAGCAATGTGCAAGATACGATGGCTAATGTGGATTTTCTAGGAGCCTCGTAAATGTATGATCTGTACTCCTACTACTACTACTACTTTATTAAGTTATTAAATGTCTTTAAAGTAAAATGAATTGTAATATTTTAA